TGTTAATATTGAAGAGTATTGTCATTAAATTTTAATTAATTAATATTCAAGTCAGTCCATAACAGGCGAAAATACTGGTCGGGTAGGGTTAATAAATAAATAAATATATTGATTTGGTTATTTTTAAAAATTTATGGCAATATTAAGTAAAAAAAATTTTAAAAATTGAAAAAATTTCGAAAATTAGCGATTTTTAAATTTGTAATTTTTTTGGAGGTTTCCCCCATTTATGGGGAACGAGGGAAATTTTTTCCATTTTTGAGGGTAATTTCTTCAACTAGATACGATTTGGGATCTTTTGACGTATCGTTGAAAGAAATCGATTCGGTGAGAGCTGAGAAAAAGTGGCAACAGACACAAAAAAAAAAACACATCATAGTAAAATTTTATTTTTTTTTTTTTAGTAAAATTTTACTATAATAAACAAGTTTATTATTATGGCATTTACCTACTATTATGTCAATCTTTTAATTAATTCAATACAGTGTTGGTAACTCAAAGAAAAATTAATACTTATGATAAAATTAATACTTTCTCAGCTTCGCATCGAAGATAAAAGTACACGCAAAAGTTTGGATAATTATTTTATGCTCAAGTTCAGTTGTAATTACACATAATTTCATGAAGAAATTTCACTTAGAAATATTAAAGTGTTAATTTTAATTATCTTTACGGAGTTAAAATAATACGAGTTTAGAGCGTTAAAGTGATAAGTGGCTTTCTTGTTAAGAGACTATTGGTTACAGTTAAACTAGAATTCGAATTTTGAATTCTAAATCCATAAGAATTAAATTCAAAAGACTTGAAATTTTTACTGTAACATTGTATATTTCTTGGTTGATAAGTGTCAATGTTCAACATAATGTATTCAATTTAACAGTCTGGTATAGTAAATGTAAATTAAAAAAGACTCAACCCAACTTTCATTATCTCACATAATTATTTCTAGTCAAAACTTCTGCAATATTTTTTTGTGATTAATAATACCCCCTCAAAATTATTTCCTGGTTGTACCTCTGTATCAATTTTTAGTGAAATCTCTACCCACACTACAAATCTGCGTACACTACTCCTTATTACATTTTAGTATGAAGGTCTATAGTTTTTTACTAAAATATAAAATTAACAATAAAATTTAAAATTATCTGACAAATACTTTCTTAAGAACTAGAATTTGATTTATATTTTAATGCACTAGCATACTCTAATTTGTTAGCCAAATAATGATTTTAATTCACAATTGTTAAGGCAACAATATTTATTTATTTATTTAAACAATTTTCAACAGTCAATTAGCTACAAAAATAATTTGAATAAAAATTTTAAAGATTAATACTACACTTGAGTAATGAGTATTAATAAAAATAACAATTAAAGGCGATCCATGAATATTTTGAATAAGGAAAAAAGGTAACATGCAGATAACAACTACAACTGATATTGCCACAGAAAAATCAATAAAACCTGTTGAAGTTAGTCGTATTGTTTTATATCCAGAAATTTCAATTACATATCCAATTAGGCCTTGGACATTTTGGTACAAAAAAGCAACTGTATTAAATCCACAACTACCATGGGAAGAAAACCTTATCAAGATTGACACCGTTCGCGATGTTAATTATTTATGGAAGTTAGTTATGAATTTAAACTACTTAAAATAACATACATTTTTTTGGATTAGCCTTAGATTTTTTGTATTTAATGATGAATTAGAGTACACAAAGCGACTCATACTTCTCAAGCTAAGACAAATTAAATTGTATATTGTACTTCTATAAGCAAAATTCTAATCACTATTTTTTTTCACTTCCGTTTATATTTTAATAATTTTACTGAAGTATTAAATAATTAAAATATTTTACCGGTTTGAGATAAATTAAAGGTATTATAAGTTTAATTGTTTACATTATTTTTTATCAATTTCTTATATTTAGAAAGAAAACACTTAAAAATTAAAATTATCGGCCGTCCATGTCCTTGGGGACAAATTACTTTGAACTGAGGGATGCATCAGTATTCTTACTAATTTAAAAAAAAATGTGTCTACAGTTTGTTTTAAAAAATATTAGGTTTAATTAAATTCTAAGAACAGGAAAATCATTCTACAAATAATTGGTTTAATTATTCTCATAATTATTATGAAAAATAGACAAGGCGTTAATTTTAATCATATTTTTTTTTATTAGTCACATTTTAATTGATTCTTATGAATAAATGTTTTTTTATATTTGAAAAGATTTTAAATTCGATTTTTCATACACCTAAATTTTATTAAATTACACAATATTATAATGTAAAAAATAAATCAAAATTAAAAAAGCTATTATTGTATTTCTTTATCCATAAAGACAATAGTGCTAACCTAACAAAACCATTATTACAGAGTTTGAATGAAATAAAAAAATCCTGTGGGGCAAAAACATCATGATTTTTTCAATAAATTTATAAAACATTATTTGACCATGGCTATAAGTGTGACCAAAAAATATATGAATAAATATAAGGCGACAAATAATTCGTATAATATCACATAGATTATTGAATCATATCATTCAACCATCAATTAACCATTTAAATACAAGTTTATTTGTTTTTGATGAAAAAAGTTTACCTGTATGGGAACATGAGACGAATAGTGGCGCTGGACGATGGATTATAATATTAAAACCAAACCGTTGTTTAACTAAGACATGGAATAATTTGGTTCGTGATTCCAACATCGTTTTGAATATTTTAACAATTTTAACTTTATAAATTTACTCAGGTTTTAAATTTATTAATTCAAATAAGTTATGATAAAATATTTTGCTCAATTTTTCCTAAACAGTAATCTATGTTGTAATTGTAGATCCATTAACATACAAAATTATTTATTTTTCATTCAAAATTACCACCACAAATTCCTAAGTTTCTATGAAATATATATATTATAGATTTACCTATTAACTATTATAGGTTTTGAGTGTTATTGGTGATAGGTTCTCAGAAGTTTCCAGTGATATAAACGGAATATCCGTACATGTAAAATCCACGAGTTCTAAAATAACACTATGGACAACCAAAATAACATTAGAAAATTATAAAAACATTCTCATGATTGGGTAATGATTTATTTTATGAATAAATTATTGTAGCTAATAATAAATAAATATGTATTCACTAAAATGCGTCTTTTACAGTTTAATTGCTCAAAAGGTTATAGGACATCAAATAAGACGAATACATTACTTTACTCATAACAGATTACTTAAATAAAGAAAACATGTTTTTGAATGCTCAATTAATTCAATATTATTCACAACACTGTCTACTAGTTAAATAACCAATGAACTATTCTGTAAACAAAAAACTTAAAAAATAGAAAAAATGTAATTGTTAATACATGAATATTTTTTGCATTTATGAATGGAGTTTCACTGATAGCCATATATTTGATATTATATCGAAAGTTGATGCCAAAACTTAAGAAATATATAACATTGTGATATCACACAACTATATATTTTTAATTATTTATAATAAATATCACAATTTTTAAATAAAATAATAACTGAAGTCTAATTTAAATTTTTGTTTTAACTAATTTACACTATCATTTAACTAAAATAACTCAATTAGCTTTATTAATATAATATGTGTAACAATTTTATTGTAAAACAATAGTCACTTTTTTAAACAAACATCAAGAATTATTACTTAAAATCTAAGATATTAATATAACAAAAACTGTCTAAATATATTACTTTATTAGTCATAAACAATTCATTAACTTTAATTTAACACTTAAACATAATATTAAAGATGATAGATCATTTTATTTTTGGTATTAACAGTATCACAACAAATGGTTATTAAACCTTATATTTATATTAGTATCTCAGATATCAAATAGTTAACAATAAAACAACTCTCATCTATAATGAATATTAAGATTGTCATCTAAAACTATTGACATTCCTGCTAAATCTAAAGAAGCAGTCATATGAAAGCCCATGTTGCTCAGTACAACTAGATATTCAAAAAACGCAAAGATTGTATACACTGAAAAATTAAAAAGTAAAATATAGTAGTAATTAAAATAATACAGTCATACAAGTATCATTAGTATTTTTGAACATTTTTTTTTAATGTGTGTTTTACTTAAGATGTTATTTTAGATGTTAATTTATTAGGAAACTTAACCCTTTTAGAATCCTGTTGCACTGGAAATTCACCATTGCCTGCATCTTTCTATATGTCTATGAGGAATAAGTTTATTATTATTAACAGTTTAAAAAGACTTTAACACTCAATGTTTTACATTTTTAAGTTTTTTAAAAATTGAAATATTAGAAAAAACTGTAGAATTAAGTGATATTTAGAGGGAATCGACCTACTTTAGCATAACTCGAGTAATTCTAGTGTTTAATTTCATAGGCTAAATTTTCATAATATGAAAATATAGCCTTTGAATTAGCATCAAACATACTATAATATAATTTGTGGCCAAATATTAAACAACAAAAAAAAATCTTCTATAATGAAGACTGCTATAGAATATATTTTATCCATCTATCCAACCACTACTTAAAATAAAAATGATAATAAGTGTAATTGGATTATCATAAATCACTTCTTTACTCACAAAGTAAATATAATAATAATGAAAAAAAAAATGTTTGATTTCATTTAGTTGAATATATTTCTTGATTTAACTAAATTAATTACTTTTTAGAACTATTTCTAACTTATTGGGGTGTCAACTTTATATTTTTAATTGGCAACATACTTATAAAATAAGAATTTTTTTAATTAAGAAAATGACTGGTCGATAAGTATTTTTGGACCACTTTTATAGAAGTTGTTAACAATTTAAAGTTAAAACTGGAGGTAAGTCGTGGGTGATGCCATATCTATCACTAATCATTTCTCTATCGTATTCTTTGTTTAGTTTAAAAATGAGAATAACTTCCAAAGTACTGTTCCAAAAGTTATTATCGACGAGTTATTTTCTTAATTAGATAATTTTCTATTTCATAAGCTAGCCAAATATATATGTTACATTTAAAAAAATAAAGTTAACAACCCCTTAAGTTATAAGGAATAACTTTAAAAAGTAACTAGTAATTGATAAATCAAGAACTAAAAGAAACCAAAATTTCTTTTTTCCAGTATTGTATTTTGAATATAATTGAGTTTATGATTTACTGATCACTCTGTATATGACTAATCTATTTTTAAATAAAAATTGATAATCCTAATTAGTAATTTCATACAACATCAATTCAGAATAAATATAAAATAAAACTTTATATGATTGGAACCTTTTTTTTTTATTATTATTATGTTAAAAATCCTTTCTAAAAGCTATTTTAACCTTGTGTTAGAAGGCAAAAAAACCTAAACAGCCCAGTGAAATGGAATCAAACCCCGGTACCTATGCACCTTAATGTCATACCACTGAGTAAATTATCATAACAAAATAATGCTGCTTATATGTTAAGCAGCATATGTTTTCTTTTTAGAATTAATTAAGACATAAAGGAATAAGAGAAATACATATATGTATGCACAAAAGGTAATGGCATATAAGTTCTGAAATGCCACGATTATTTTAATAAGTTTTCAATAAAAAAAAATTTCATAATTAAATAAAAGTTCAGTAACCATGAAAAAATAAACAAAATATTAATAATAATTAAAAAAGTATATTAAACACAATCATTTTTCATAGAATTTTTGACAAGTAATCACAGATTAATTAAAATAATTTGTATGATATATGTTATAAAAAAATAACGTTAAATATTAACTTCATTTTAAGTTAAAATTATTATCACAATACTTTTTTCTTAATGATATTATACAATTATAAGAATATCACTCAAATAATGTACTTGATCAAAGAAAAAATTATATTTTAAAGAATATTTCTTTTTAATTTTAAAGAGAGAGAGAAAACCAAGACAGGTTTTAAAGTGGGCATTAATTAGAAAAGGAGTCCCGAAAAGGTACATTAATATAACAGAAGACATGTATGATGGCACTTGTGTACTAAAAAGTGTAGGAGTATTAGAAGGTTTTCGGATAAGAGTAGGAGTGCACCAAGGTTCTGCTTTAAGCCCTTACTTATTCTCTATAGTGATGGATGAAATTACAAGAGAAATACAAGGAAATGTGCTATGGTGCATGTTGTTTTCTGACGATATAGTGTTAATAGGAGAAAATAGGGAGGAAATTAACCAAAGGCTAGAGGTGTGGAGATCAGCTCTTGAAGAAAAGGGTTTATGAATAAGTAGAAGTAAGACAAAGTATATAGAGTTTGACGAAGGAGAACACAAGGTAGGTGAAATGAGGAGGTCAGTAACAACAAGCGAGGACGTGATTGGAGAGATGGAGAGTTTTAAGTATTTAGGGTCAGTTGTGCAAAAGAGTGGAGGTATTGACGAGAATGTAAGACACAGAATTTAGTGCGAGTTATTGAAATGGAGAGAAGCGTCTGCAATATGTGAGCTGATGTGAGCGTAGATGATGTGGAAGATCGTGTCAAGTGGAAGTTTGGGATAAGGGTGGCCAACCCCAAGTAGTTGGGATTAAGGCGAAGAAGAAGAGGAGATTTCTTTTTAATTTTAAAGTTTTTCTTACCACCAGTTTCACAATAAGCATTGTGACGTAAAAAACAAACAGCAGCAATTGTAAAACATATACAATTAAATATTGTTAAATATATCTTATAAGATAATGATTTTGATTCTAATTTGGTAGCTACAGTCTTATTAAAACGTCCTTTCTTCAGTAACATACATGATATCAACATATTTAGTTCAGATGCACTTATAAATGTAATAAAACTTTTTTCATGAATACCTTTAACACCAAATTTTTAATTATTGTAAATTTATTAATACTAAATAACTATTAAAAACTTACTGTAATAATTTGTTGATGTAAACACTGATAATGATACTAATGAACACAATTCAATAATATTCAATGTCCATAGAAGTAGAACACACCAATTCAATGATGATTTGATTATTTTACTNTATTCAATGTCCATAGAAGTAAAACACACCAATTCAATGATGATTTGATTATTTTACTGTAGTACTGAAAGTACATACTGGTTACAACTAATCTAATTGGACTATGAGCAAATATTGCCAGATTCCACAAAAACTGTTGTATTGAATATTTCCCAATTGCAGTAGATATTGAAGGTAGATAATTTTTTACCTAATATGATTAATATTAAGTAATAAAATTTGTGATTGATAGCATTAAAATACTTACTCCACAATGAGTTCCTGTAGAGTCTTCCAGATGAAACCATATAGTCCAAAAAATACAAAAAATAAATGTAATAAATACACTCAACATTGTATACAAACAGAGAGAAGGTACTTTGATTTGTATTAAATACCGTTTATCTGCTTTATCTGGACTTAATTTTATAAAATTTGTACTCATTTTTAATTTAATGTGTTTCACTAAAATAAAATAGAATGACACAAAAATTAACATGATATAAAATTAGTTTAATACTTATTACTCTAGCTTTAACAAGAAGGAACTTAATTAAATTTTGTATAAAATAAATTTTAATTTTATGGCTCATTTTGACACAAAAAGAATAATTTTTATATTGATCCTGTTTAATTAATTGACAAAATAAATAAAAATTTTCTTGCAATACTACAATGAGTATTTTCAAGCTTTTGAAAGTTCTATCCAATTAAATTGAAAAAATTGAAAAAATTGACCAAATTCTTTTTTCAGGATACCAAAAATTTGTACAAACTTAATCAAAGACATAGGGTGGCCAATTGTTTATGGAATTTGAATAAAAAAAATTTTTCCTCCACCAAATAATAATCTCTATATAACAGTGCATAAAATTTTACTAAACTTCTAGAGGGGCAAAATTGTAAATTGGAAGACAGAGCTCCCTAACCTTCCAACTGACCCCTATGAACTTAATAGATAGTACAAATAATGTTTATATGTTCAATACAGTATACCAATTTTTTTCAAATTTTTAGGAGATGATGAATGAAATGTATTCTGAAATTTAATTGCATATATTTATCAATTTTAATCAACTTAAATCTAATTCAAAACAAAACTTTTTTAAAAGTTATTTTAAAAGCAGTAAAAACTAAATTTAAATAAATTATAATCTTAAAATCAAAGCTTTGCTTTAATATTTTTTGTTGATTTAATAAATAAAATATCTAGAAAATAAACCCAGGCAGTAACTAAAGGTATAAGACATGACCTGTAAAGTGATAATATGTCATAGTTTATATGAGAAAAATTAATGAGATAGGTTTGGATAGAAAAATGAATTTAATGCTTAAAATATAAATGATTTTATAGTAATTACACTTTTTTCAAAACATAAATGTCTTACTTAACGCTTATAATTTTTGATACCATTATCATTTTCTCGGAAATTCTTTTTAAAATAATTATTGCCTTCTTAAATTACATAAGCCTAGATAAGCATTGACAGTTAGTCTAAGACACTTTGTATATATTATAAATTGCATGAATAATTAAAAAACTCAATAAATTTTTAATCAATAATTGCATTAAGAAATCAAATATACTATTACTCAATTATAATAATTGTGTTATATTCAAAAATATTTTAAAAATTAGATAAATTATGTAAATATCAATAGTTATTTATCCAGCCTTTAAAGTAATAAATGACACTAAAAGACTTAAGTGATAAATACTAGTAAAAGTTTTTAAATAATTAAAAATAATAAAATCAATCTTGACATATAAAACATGGACACGTTGGAAACACATATTTTAAAATATTAAATTGCATCAAAAAGAGTAATTTATCTATTATGTACAACATTGAATTTGAATTTAATAGTAAATATAGGGCGTGGTAATATGTTCTATTAAATATAAAAATCTTTATCTCAATTAATAATCATGGTATTCTATTGAAATATTTTTGAATATGTCAATCTAATATTTCTGGTATTATATTTAAACTTTGATTTACTACCTTGAAAAATATCGATAATATTTGATTGATATAATTAAGAAACAAATTCTTGATTTTTTAAGTTATAAAGAAAATACTTACATTTTATTTTTCATACTACATATTTTGGACAAAAAGATCCGGTTCTAATAAAAGGTCAACTGTATTTGTCATTGGGTAGCATAATGAAGCAGGTCATTGTAACTAAGATGGTATTATTCAACACTATTAATAAAAAGTTATGATAGGTATCAAAATTACGTTTGAAAGCAATAAATCGTTTAACGCTTTTTAAATACTGATAAGTATAAACTATATAATCTTATACACAATATTCGAACCTCATAATAAGCTCACAGACTATATGAAAACAGATAGTTCACTTAGCCGAGAACAATAGAAAAAAAAATCAAGCTCTCTGATTGGGCAGAAGACAAAGCAGTAGAGACTGTTGTACAATACATATTATTGTGCAAATATTTTACAATAATATTATATAATTCCTCTATCAGTTACAAAAATTATCAATGATATTGGAATTAGTGACACTATTATATTTTAAATACTTGAACGATAATTAATTATAACTGTTCGCATACTTATTTGTTTAAATAACGTTTAGTCTTAATAAAAATGTTTTTTTTTTAAATATTGTCTGACATTATGAATATTGTGTTCAATTTGTATAAAAGTTGACATTTTGTGTAGTTTATTATTTCATAAATTTTTTTCAACGTTTAGTTAGTTTTACCTATAATATATGAAGCTGTAATTTTTGGTAAAACTGTTAATAGTATTATATTTTTTATAAAATTTGAATTATTTTAGACATAATAAATAATAATATATAATAAATTATATATTTTTATTATTATTATTATTGTTAGCCATTTTTTGGCCAAAATGTAGCCATTTTCACCGTGAAGACAAAATAAAGTCCGAAATTTTTTTTTCCCAAAATTAAGTATATTACATTAGCTTTGATTTAATATATATATATAAGCGTCAGTATTTCCGGAACACTTTCAAAAGTTAAGTTGAAAAAGTTAATTTTTTGTAAAAAAGTTGTCATTTTGAATTCCCCACTGTGGGCTGGTAAAGGGTTAAATTTATAAATAGATATACCAAATGATAGGTAAAGACATCAAACATCTATATAAAATTTTCATTTTTGAAAAAGTTATGGTAGTGTTAAGAAAAAAATGTCAAAAATTACTGATTTTTAAAATTGTAATTATTTTGGAGATATCTCTCACTTATGAGGAATGAAGGAAAATTTTTCAATTTTTGAGGGTAATGTCTTCGACTAGATACGATTTGTGATATTATGACGTATCATTGAAAGAAATCGGTTCGGTGAGAGCTGAAAAAAACAAGGTAACAGACACACAAAAAATAAATAAATTAAAGAAACACACATCATAGTAAAATTAATACCTTCTCAGCTTTGCATCGAAGATAAAAAATACTGACCACTAAATATTGTAGGTACTGCATCATGACCAGCCGATTTTTTGTAGTCTTTATCAAAAACATTTTATCGTCAAAATGATCCGCGCAAACTACTAGATTATTTTTTTTTGGATAAAGTCTCGGCCAAATGATTAGTTTGACAATTATTCATCCATAGTTTCAAACGATCGTTTTCTTTAGGATAAGAAAAAAAGCTTTTATCTTTGAAGGAATATGTACTTGGACAAAACTTCACTGAGCATCGCATACTGGTGAGGTAGTGAGATATTTTGAAAGAAAGCACCAAATATAACACGAAATAAGATACATGTGATCATTGACAATATTAACAATAACAATTGTTACTGCTCAAGTCAAATTTAAGTAGTTAATAATTTACATTATAAAAACTGATAATTATTTAATTTTCATGACTAATTTAGCAATTTTGAGTCATAAATAAGGGATTATGGGTTTAATACCTTAATTTAATGATGTATTAAAATAATTTATGTCAATAATTATGTTTATATACGGAATTTCATAATATTTATGCTACAGCAGATTTAATAATGAAATAAATAAAAAGAATTTTTGCGCTTATACATACGGTTGCACTGATTTCACTTCTCCAATCAAAAAACCGTTTTGTTATCGGGCCAAGTGAACTATCTGTTTTCATATAGTCTGTGATAAGCTTATCAGTTATTAACGAAACGTCCCTTAAGAATTGTTGCACAATGTAGTCAAGTCATTATAAAATATATTTTTATTGTAGATTACCTTAAATTTATTTAGCATTATACTAAAAATAATATAAATCATGTCTAAAAAAAAGTTATTTTTTCATTTTAAAATGGTAATGGTGAGGAGGGCCATTACTGAGTCCTGTTAAATCAATATTATAGATATTCGACGGATTATAATTTTCATATCTCCAAGAAAAAATATTCCTAGTATGAAACGAAAAACAAAAAAGTTTTACGATATTGATTATACATAACTTGCTCAATATTTTTCTAAGTTATAACTGTCAACCCTATATAAAGATAATTATTATTACTAATTAAGCAAGAGTATGTTTAGGAAGAGAAACACTAAAAGACATTCTTACTTAATTAAAACGAGCTATAATTTATCTCGAAAGAAATTTTCTTTATAAGGTTAAATGAAATAAAAAAATCAAAATATTAATTCCTACTTTTCATTTTGCTTTTCAAAGACTTATTTGAAGCCAAATCTCAACAGTAACCAAATTCAAATAATTTAAACAATAACGTAATTTTACTATGTAAAATATCTCTCATTAATTTATTTTAGTACTTCATAGTAAATATTATAAAATTGTACCAATGGAAAACATTTATAATATTTAAATATAAAATTTTTATTAAATAGATACATAAAAAGATATTTTTCAGATGTAAAAAAAAATTATATTTTAGAGTATTATATTTCATGTATTAAAATTAACAAAATATATTTATATTGTCAACTTTTTTTAATTATATAAAAAAATATATTTTAGTTAAATATACTTACTAACAAAGATTTCTTTATTTATCTTATGTCATTAAAATATAGCTTTAACTAAGAAATTTTTTTAGGATAAGATTATAAGCTATGATCGATTTTACTGTTGTAAAAATTATGAGTATAATTTTCATATAGTTACTGACGTTGCCATTTTAGCAGTATTCGATAATATTTAAATTATTTATACCAGACATGACCTAGCTATACCTAGCTTATTGAAAAATAATCGATAAAACCTTTTATAATAATATTCAGTTTAGAGTTAAACGATTGACCATTAAACTCGTAAAGAATCATTTGTGTGGGGTAAATGATTTCTATGATATGGGTTTAACAGCAGAAAACACAAATGATATATTTATTTGTTCATCAAAAACCTCACCCTCGGGATTTTTAAATATTTCAGTAGCTCAAAAGAGTACATGTTTGTACTTTTAATTACAAATGTAATTATCAGATATATAAAGAATTACTTTTTTTAATGTTTTGTATACTTATTTAAATTTTTATAAAATATGCGAATTAAAGCAACTAAAATTTGATCTATAAACATAGCATTAAATATTTTAAACAATAAGTAGCTTTATATTTTTAAGTGTTAATGGAAAAAACATTGAGTGCTTATCTTTAGTATTTAGGGAGCGTAAATTGTAGTTTTCCTGTTCTAAAAAATCTTCTTGAAGACCTTTGTAATGGAAATATTAAAATTAAATTGTATTTGAGATATTAGAAAAATCATTTACCAAACTTCTTACAATTCTATCAACCGTCGTTCTACCCAAGATTTATAGATATTTTAATATCTATAAATATTGGTAGAAATCAATGTTATAAGATATATATATATAAACGAAGGTTTATAGTATTGAGTAAAAGTCAAGAACCCAAGTAAATTTATTATTCTCTTTGTTTTTACCACAGGCGTATGCAAGGGGGGTTTTGGGGGTTGAAACCCACCTATAATTTATAAGCTAAGCGACGATTTTGGACCATAAACAATAAGTAATAACATTAAAAAAGATCATATCATACTATAAATATTTCCACAATAAAGTAATCTAAAACAGGAATTTTTGTAAGGTAATAATATGGGCAGTATCACATCTAATTTTCTTTAAATTTCAAACCCCCCCCTAAATTTAATTTCTGTGTACGCCTCTGGATTGACACATATTATTTTCGGATGAGACCATAGACATATAAAACATTTTTTTATTTACATATACACTTATAAATGTATATAAGTGTATGTCTTAAATAAGCGTTCCTTTAATATTTTTAAAGTGTTATCATTTTTAGTAAAATGATACAAAATAATTGATAACAAATTCAATAAAAGATGTATCTTTTTACAATCTTTTTGGGTAAATTATTATGAAGTTTGAAAAAATGATGAAAAGAAAAAAATTGTCTTTTAATTAGTATTTCTTTTTCAAATAAATGATATCCTAATATTTTTTCATGTGTTCGAACATTTATCAAATTAAAAGATAAAATGGAATTTGAAAATCCTATATTTTCTCTAAGACAATCAGAAATTTGTCGACTTTGTGGATTAAATAATTCATCAGGATACTTAATATATGAAAAAGAAGATTCTGTAGATCTTACTATTGCCGACTTAATCAACCGTTATTTGCCGATTCAGGTATGTTAAATATATACTGTAAAGTTAATTACAAAGTTGGTTTTATTTTTTAATGGTAAATTTAGCTATATTAATTGAGTCGCAGTGCAAAGTAAGAAACTCTTAATTGTCCTCCTATTAAAAAGGTAATCTATTTACGAGTCGATAGACTAATTAGTTAAAAAGTAGCATGCCACTGGTTGCTGTTACTTTCTTTTGAGAGAGACCAACCATTTTTAAGTAATTATCTGTTAAAAGCTATTTTTGTAATAGACATTTTCTGCATTAAGTATTAATATTAAATTTTATTATAGGTTTCGAATGATGATGACTTTCCAAAAAAAATTTGTGCAAATTGTAAATGTCAATTAGACATGCTTGTAAAGTTTATAGATGATCTACTAGATGGTCAGAAGTTTTTAAATAATATTTATGAAATGAACAATATTAAAAAATTTACATCTGTAAACTATGGAAATATTAACACAAACAAGTCAAATTTAAACTTTCAAAAGAATATTAAAGAAATTGATGAGTTTGTATGTGAAATATGTGGTTTAGTTTTATACCATAAAAATGATCTAAGATTTCATTTAAAAAAACATGGTAAATAGATGATTGTATTATTTTTAAATAAAAGTAAACTTTATCTTATCTCTTTCACTAAACTCATTTTCCTTTGTCTAATTTTTATTTTCTCCTCAAATCTGACTATATAAAGTCATGACAGATCTGTTAGAATAAATGACCATTCTCCTATGAAATGTTGTATAGAAACAATTGTTCAATCCCCAACTTACTATTCCTAGTTTTATCATTTCTAACACAACATTAGGATGATATTATATTCTATTGTACTGGTATTAGTATACCACACCTGTATTCCATACTCATTCTACATATTAAAATTCTAAGATTATATTTATATTTTTTCGTTTGCATAAAGTTAAATTATCATACTTTGTTTTTAAGTAAGCCATATTGTAATATTTGAAACAAATTGAATTTATGAATGTGTTAAAACTTTCATGGATTGTCTTGTTGCTTGAAGTGCTTGAGGATATATCCATCTGTACACATGGATATATCCTCAAGCACTTCAAGCAAAATTGAATTTAAATAATGTTAAAAAAATACTTGCAATTGAAAAATAAATTCATAATACTTCAATATCAAATAATATCCATGAATTATATAACTATAATTTTTTTAACTGTGTTTATTTAACAAGTAGAATTTACTGATTTTGACTATTTTAGAGCAATCCAATAATCACAATCGTGAAGTTGTTTCAGTAGATAGATTCGAATGTGAACATTGTAAAAAAACATATGTTAATAAAAAAGGACTTAATACTCATTTATTAACACACCAAGGTATAATAAAACAAAACTTTTTTAAACCTTCCATTCTTAATAAATATTTATTTTGGTAAACTACTGAATTAATTTAGTAGTAGCTAGTTTATTGTAATAAGTAAAATTAAAACTAAACTATAATTTTTACTAAATTTTAGGTGAAAAAAAATTTGAATGTAAAATATGTCATAAAAAGTATTTTCAAAATGGAAATTTACAAGAGCACATGCGTATTCATACTGGAGAGAAACCCTTTAAATGTGTACACTGCTCTGTCTCATTCCGAACATCATCTCAAGTAAATTTTTTTTTTATTTGTACTAAATTAACTTTATTTACTTACACTTAAAAATATTTTTAGATTAAAACACATTTACGCTGTCATAGTGGAGATAAGCCGTATAAATGTACTGTGTGTGAAAGATCATTTCCCCATCATAACACATTAAAATTTCATTTGAAACGGCACTTCAATGACAGACAATTTATTTGTGAATTTTGTCCAAAAAGTTTTATTGACCGAACTGCACTTATCAGACATTCTCGAACTCATACAGGTAATATTAATATTTATATAAAAATTTGTAAATTTTAGATTAAATCATGCATAATAAATTTATTTTAGGAGAGAAGCCATATTTTTGTAATATGTGTAATAAAGAATTTGCTACAGTGACAAATTTTAACAAACATAGAAGGGTAAATAAATAAAGATTATTAATTATAAAAATCTTTAGTTGTATACTCACCTAGTAAAATCTGTTGACTATGGAATACTAATATATAGAATACCAATACTAATCAATATATAATATGGCCAATATCACTGCAATACCATTTAACTAACCCATTTTTAAAAAAGGAAGTTTTGTTTTATTGTCATAAAAAAATTATTTTTTCTCAATTTGAATAGTACTTCCATTTGAAATTACATGATGGTATAGCAAGGGTAATTACTATACCAGTTAGTGCAACTTAATTATTGATACAAATTGTATCATAGAAATATTTTTTGTTTTTTGTGGAAATAAACTCCACCTCCATTCATAACTCTACATTTAATTAAAATACATAACTTAGTTTTTAAGCCTACAAATAAAAATTTGTACTGCCTGGTAAAGTGTTCAGAATCTAACTCAACAAAAATTTATAAAAGCATGTAAATGTGTTATACCCTAAAAATTTAGTTAGTTCTATATAAGTCACAAGTAATGTACAATTGATTTTAATATTAAGAATTTTTTTTTATTATTTAAATATTTTAATATTTCTAATTGACTTTAAAGATACATGCGAGAGATACAAATTCAACTGTTTGGGAATTAACAACAAAGTTTCGTAAAGGAAGTTCTGAAGTTGATTATGTAAGTGCAACTATTATTAATGATGAAATATTTGAAGAACAACATAGAACTCAAGATTTATTTTTGGGACCTGACCAAGTAAAGGTATAACTAAATTAAAAAAATAAAAATAAATTATTATTTTGAAACAACAATTTTTTATGTTCAGGATTTCAATGTGGACTTACAATCAAACAGTGATAACAACTTGGATGACTTATTAAACGTGAATTCTTCTTTTACATCTCTTAACTCAATAAGTTTCAGTGAATCTATTTTAGAGTTAGATGATAGTAAAGTTGTGACATAACTATTTTATTAATTATTACCTTTAATTATATTTTATAAAAATTATTTTTGCTTGTTTATTTTGAGTATGTTTATTTAAAAGTCAGTTTTTCTTTTATTTAGGAATAAAACATTTTTTTTTTCATTGACATATTATTGTTCATAATCATTTTATCTTTTTCTTTTTAGTTTTTAGGTTTTTTATTTTGTTAGTTGTTGCAGTATTTGGTTAAAATATGTATTTACCTCTTATTATTAATTTCATACCCCAATTTCAAAAAAGAAAAAAATAAGAAAAATAAGTAAATCAAATATTATAATTCAATAAATAAATTAATTTAAATTAGAAAATTTACCAAATCAAAGTTCACTTTCAAATCTCTAGGTGTCAATTAATTCTTTAAAAAAAATATTCTAAGTCCAAAAATTAGAAAAAAATAGACTAATAGAAAATATTCTAAGTTAATAAAAAAAAATGACTATGTCTCTGAGAGTAATATTTTGATTAGTATCGTAAATTTTGTATATCTTCAATTACCGAAAGAACTGGTTTTTATGGGGGGAAATGACTTTTTATAAATAGAAGGAGGTAGTCTAGTGATCCCTAGACTTTCTTGGAAACTGAGGCTTTCTATTCTAATTGGTTAATTATAATGGGAGCCCTGCATGTAAGCATAACTTAAAGATCTCTACAATAAGAAGATTTTATCCCATAATAAGCTGGTTATTTTGTATATTTAAAATATGTGACATACAAATGATAACACCATGTTATATGTTAATATTATAAATAATAATATAATATTACATTGCATAAGTTATGTAGTTTGATATTTTTGTGCTGGACCATGTATACTTTTCACCCCCTCAATCCATAAATTTCAAGAAAGTATGTTAAACATGCTCATAAGCATCATTAATATAAACTTCATATAATTGGTTTAACTTAATACAATTGTATCTTCTTACTCAAATGAAAATTTTGTGTACTATTATTTAATATGTGCGCCCAACAATTCACTTTACTTTCTATTATGTATACAAATATTTTTATAATATAAAATATTATAATATTAAAACTTTAATTACATGATACATGTTTACTTTCTAAACATATTTTATTATACTATTACTGAATAGACCACAATGTTTTGACAAATCTAATAACTTTTAATCTACTATAAATATTTTGTTCCTTTTTAGCTTCGATACGAAGCTGAGAAGGTATTGGTTTTACTATGATATGTTTTTTTTTTTTCTGTTACCACTTTTTCTCAGCTCTCACCGAACGGATTTCTTTCAACGATACGTCAAAAGATCACAAATCATATCTAGTTGAAGACATTACCCTCAAAAATTAAAAACATTTCCCTCGTTCCCCGTAAATGGGGGAAAACTCCAAAAAAATTACAAATTTAAAAATCGCTAATTTTAGAAATTTTTTCAATTTTTTTTACTTAAAATTGCCATAACTTTTTTAAAATTAACCAAATCAATATAATTTTTTTTTATATAGATGCATAATAACATTACCTATCATTTGATATATTTTTTTTGTAAATCTGACCCTTTACCTGCCCATAGGGGGGGATTTAAAATGAAAACTTTTTCACAAAAAATTAATTTTTTCAACTTATCTTTTGAAAGTGTTCCGGAAATACTGACACTTTTATATATATCTTAAATTAAAGCTAATGTAATATACTTTATTATGGAGAAAAAAAATTTCGGACTTTATTTTATCTTCACGATGAAAATGGCTACCAAATGCTATTTTTGTGTGAAAATTCTCGATTTTATTTTTTATATTTTTAACTTTATAATGCTATAACTTATTGAAAAGTTTATGGATCAACACAATTTTTTTATGAGAAATAATATTTTTTAATAATCCCTTTTTCATTCGACATACTTTATCTTAATCAAGATATTAATAAGGAACTAGCAGATCATGTAGCTTTTGGAATAATACACCAATTTTTTTAAAATTAAACACTATCTAAAGATTTGCATCGAAGCGTTTTTTTTTATAGTGATTTTAATCACTGTCAAATATTATACTTGATCCAACTATACCACGGCACCACTGTGCCGCGACCCCCCTGTGCTGGGTTTTTTTAATAATAATTTATGCATTATTAGATATATTCAAATTATATTTTTTATTATTTATAAATAATAAAAAATACTAATTGTAAGTGTGGATTTTAAAACCTATCTTGTATTGAACTTTGTACAAGGTCTAGCTTGTATTGGGCTTTGTAAAAGGTCTAACTTATCTAGGCTCATCTAGGAATTACTACACACACCTACTTTATTCTAAGAATGAATACATTATTTATTAAAAAGTAATGCAATGTATTTAGTAAATCAAACATTATTAGATTTATCAATTTGAAATGTTAATATTCTTTACTATTCAAATTTGTTGAAATCTCTTCAAAATAGCTACAAGTTTGACTAAAATTCAAAGATAACTTTTTGTTAATAATTAATCACATATATTTAGTTTTTATTACACGCTTGTATTTGTTGTTTTTATTGTAACAGCTTTATAAAAATGTATGATAAAAATTAACATAATAATGCAAATCTAATTTTAATTATCACTTCATTAATTGTAAGTGAAGTTATATGCACCGCCTAATTAAAATATGTGTTTATAAACTTAACATGTAAAATACTTTTAATTTAGTGATGTACAACTTCCGCTAATATGTGATAAGTCAAAATAGACTACCAAGAAAACTGTTTGATTTTACTCAATCGTGATAAACAACTTTTTTTATCTTGTGAGGGCGTATGTATTTATGGGTACACATTGAACTATTATGTTTTTTTAAATGAATTATTCATTTATTTATTTCTTGGTGACCAATTTAAGACATGTTAGTGATATTAGCTTAGTTTTTAGTCATTATTAGGTTAGGTAATAAAAACATTCAAGTATTACATTTTAAAGAAAAAGTGTTTTATTGTCTGCACTAAAGTTATAATTTAGTTAAATATGATCGGATTTTATATTATACTATTTACATTACATTCCAGTAAAGGTTAGTTTAAATTATAAAAATATTTACCAATTAAAAATTTAATTTTAAATTCCTGATCATAACAATTATATTTAACTTAGTATAAATTGAATGTTATAACTAGACTAAAAATAGATCATTTGAAATTGAAATAGCACAATTGATTTTATTTTCAAGTTAAGAAATTTAAAAAAAATTGATTTGATTGGTAAAAATATTTAATGTTATATATAATTGTTAAAAAAATATACATTTTAATAATGTGAAAAATCTTTTAGCTTTGATACGAATTTAAATAGATTACATTCTTAGTAAAATTAATATTTTACTGTAATGTTTTTTTCTTCAATGATTATTTAAGAATAGTTATCATATTATAACCGACAATTTGTTACGAATTGGTCTTTCGTTAAACTATTAAATTGTTTTTTGAATACATAGGCCAAATCATCAGTAAATTAACACAACATAATCTTGATGACTTCAGAAATAATGCAGTCAAAAGTTTTTTCCTGACTCCTAAAGCATTAATTGTCGATAATACTCGTCTAGAATTTTCTTATTGGAACTAGTATGTATAAAAGTTATAAGTTTTTTCATTAAATAAAACTTATAAGTTAAAAGGCTTATCGTATAAACAATTAACTGAAGTGTTTGTGAAACCACAGACGCAATTTGAACAAAAAGTTTAGGAATCTAACATAATTTCTCCTCTTCCTAATCATTTGATCCCATAATTAATTTTTTTAAACAAAAAATTAACACTACTTTAGGGGACATTTTTTTTTATTTATAAAACAAGCAATACTGAAAATGTATTGCTGGACACCCTTTTTATATTATTTTAAATGTAAAAGTAAAATTTCATAAACTTATCAAACAATTTTTTTCATAAAAGATATTAATTATCCCGTCGCGATGGGATAGTTAATTAATATATTGATAACCAATTACTAAATGTCACATCTTATAATAATTGGTTAATCGTGACTTTTTAATTAAGATAAAACAAATAAAATGAACTAAATGCTATGAGCGTTAAGGTATTTACAAAATTTTCTCAGAAAATCCTTTATTTTCCTATTATCTTAATTCACTGATACCCTAAAAATATTAAAATTTGTTGTATATAATTAGTGAACTTGGAAATAATTATCCAATTCCATTTGAATACGGCAAAGAGCAGGATTTAATTAAATATTGGATTCCAAAACAGCCATTAAAAATTATAACACATGGTTGGCTTGCAACTAGTGAAAATAGTACAGGTGTATTTGCTATTAAAACAGGTGAGCTAAGGTAAACTTTTTATGTTATATAAACTTTTAGAAATATAATAACAGTTTCGCAAAATATTCGGTATAATTGGTTCAGCAAGGAGGCGCGAACACAAGGAAAATGCGACCTCCCAAAAAATATAGAATTATTTGTATACAAAAATTTCTTTATTTCAAAAATAATATTTACTTTAACAAAAATAGTGATTCCCCTTCAATTTTTTCTGAATCCGAGTTCAATTATAATTTGTCATAGTTATATTTAAACAACCTGTAAGTTATCTTATTAAAACCAAATTAATATATCTAATGAAATATTTGTTTATTAATTATAATATTAATGGATTTCACTTTTAGACCTTAGATTTATTTAATAAAATAGTAATCCAGTATATTGAACCTTTTAAAAAATTTTAGCAATAGTTATAATTAAGATATGATACTTAACATTGTATTTTTCTTATCATAATTACTAATTCAATGAAATAGTATACCTTTATAAAAAATTAATTCTTTAGTTATTCTAACTATTCTTGTTAATTATTTAACTAAGCATACGTCAATACAACCAAATATAACGTTATTTCGGTTGACTGGAGTGCTGTCGGTGGTAATGTAGTATATCCCATTCCAGCTTATCTTACAACACGTGTGGGTGGCGTTATAGCAAAGTTATTGGAGAATCTTGTTCAGCTTGAATATATCAAACCTACTAATATACATTTAATAGGCCACAGTCTTGGTGCACATGTTTCAGGAGCTTGTGGAGCAGCTTTCACCTTAGGAAAAATTGGGCGGATAACAGGTAACTTATTAATAATGCATGATCAAAGCAGGGTTTATTTTTTAAACATACACCTTAGTTTAAACTATTACTTATCAGTAATGGATATTGTGTAATATATGAGTAATTCAATTCAAAAATATTATTGCCCTAAGCAACAGTTTTGTTCTGTCCATTTACTAGTGAGCATAAAAATCTAGTAGCCGTGGGTAGTTATTGTAATTCCCCACAAAGCTTTCCAGCTCTTTCATATGGAATATTTCAATGCAGATTTGTATTTTTTTTGAGAGTCCCTAATGTTGTTTCAAACTTGTTTTCATTGCTTAAGAATTTACAAAAATTCTTCCTTAATTTTAATAAGTCAGTGTTCCTCCAAGCTACACCCTGCCTATACCTTTCGTTTCTTTCAAAGGACAGTTTTTCTTGTATTTCAAAGATTAGTTACGGCCCTTTCATTGTTTTGTTCCGACTCTAATCTAAACTGTAGGGTTTTCAGGTCATGAGAACGGTCCGCCCTGTAGTTATCCCAGTTTGTCCTTTCAGGGTTTTATAGTACTCCGTTCAACTTTGTTTATTTTCAAATTGAAGCGTATGTGCCAATCATCAGCGATAGAAAGTTCAGTAGACACGGTCCACCCTTCTATTTTCTGGATCAACCTATTTGGGCAAATTATAATATCAATGACTTCTTGCCTGTTCCTAATGTAAGAGTAGGCTCATTACCTCTATTCAGTAAACTTAGTCTGCAGTTAGAAGAAGATTCATTTGTGTCTCACCACATTAGTTTATCTCACAGTTTCCCCATGTAGGATAAGACTAATTTTTTATTTTTACAATGATTAAGCAGCACTAATAAGTATCTACCCGGTTCTATTAACTTCTAAGGTATCCATTATTTTTCAACGCGGTCGACATAATGTTAGCCGCCCTGGNGCGGTCGACATAATGCTAGCCGCCCTGGAAGTACCGTGAGGTATTGCTTCAAGGCAATAAGGTATCCTACTAAAATATTTTTATTATCACTTAATATTACCATAATAATTTTTTGCGCTTGACAAATTAAGTAACAATCGGGTTTTTATTTTATCATTTATCAAAATACAAGAACTTGGTTTGTCTGACTGTTTGTAAAACAGCTTAAAACCTTTTAAGTTTAGTCCCTAAATGTGATTATCATGTAACCGTGGATCCTGAATATGTACTATTTGTAAAAATGTATGCCTCACAGTTAGGGTCCTTAGTAATACACTACTTTGTATTATTTACTATGATGCAAATTTATATGCGTATATTATAATATATTGTATTGTATCTCACACAATCAGAAAAACTAGTGTTTACATTTAAAAAAACGCTAGTTTGGATATATATATATATAAGATTTTTACAGTCTTTGTATCACAAAACTCCCTTTGGTTAGTTTCCCGACATTTCTAGGCGGTGACCGTTCCTTAGGTGTATATTTAACATTTTCCTTCGGGTCCGTAGAAGAATTATGTTCATTCTGAGGATGATAGTTTGTCGGATCCCTTACCTTTATATGACTCATTTCCTAAGTCTAGTGTCTTCAAATCTTTAGTTCTATCAGTATCCGATAGTCACCAACACTATACTCAGAGAGTTACCCTTAGTGTTCAACTTATTCGTGGAATAGCCCGNTCTTTATTTAGTGTTCAACTTATTCGTGGGATAGCCCGTGAGGACCCGAAAAGATAAGTAAAGAACCCGTTTACGTGATATAGTTGGATTTGGGTGGCTGGCCAATTAGGGATACCAGCTATAATTTGGCAACTTAATTGCTAATTAAGTAAAGTGGTGATCGGCTAAGAGTAGCAAACTTGTCGCCATCCCTACTGAGTCCACGTAGTTGTTAATCGTGATCCTTATGGATCCCCTGCGAGGATACTTGTGCTTCAAACTTATATCAGCTTTTTTAATACGCCTGAAAAAATAGACCTACGTAAAATATTTATGGTAAAACCGATTTTGTTCGTTATCAAGTATGTATCTAGAAATTTTTCATAGAAGTCCTATGAATAAAACATTTTTTGGTTGGGTACTTAACATTTTGTTTAAAATATTATGCCTTTTTTTATTATTCATAAATTGTTTATCGACACAGCAAATTTCGATGGCTGCTACTTTAGCACTTGAATAAAATAACAATTTATCAAAAATATAGAAAAATAATTAAAATTATTCTTACAATCATTAAATTTTCTGATATAGGTCTAGATCCTGCGGGTCCTGGATTTGAGTATGGACAAATAAGACCCAATCGATTAGATAAGACCGATGCTTTATTTGTAGATGTTTTACATACAGCAGGAGGAGTAGCAGGATTTTATAAATCAATAGGGCATGCAGACTTTTATCCGAATGGTGGTAGTCCACCTCAACCTGGATGTTATGAAGGATTATCTGAGATGTTGAAAATTGGTACTTTCAAAATTTCCTATGTAACTATAAATCTCAATGGTTTTTTTCACAGCCGTTTAAAAATATAGTTGTATGAATGAATTGTTGTTATAGCTGGTTGTAGTCATGCAAGATCGCATCAGCTATATGCTGATTCTATATATCACATGAATTCGATGATAGCAACTCAGTGCTCTTCATGGTCATATTATGAATCTGGTGGATGTAATAATAATACAAAATCTTTTTTGGGCCATAGTGCTTCTACTAGGTAAGATTGTTATATCACTTTAGTTATTAAAAAATTGTTTACTTATATTCTGTCATTGGCTATATTTAAATGTATTTTTTTTTTATTAATTTTCACAATAATTTATTGATTGGGTTTTTGGTTAATGAACTATGATTATAAAAATCGTAGTCCTAAGAAGTCGAGAGGGAAGTTGCAATCCAAATTATTGTTTTTGATTTGAAAATATTTCTTTGACTGCGTCACTTATGTATTTAAGACTTTAATATTCGATCACATTAATAAAACTCATATTTTTTATAGCGCATTTGGAAATTTTTATTTGAAGACAAAAAGTTCAGCTCCATTTGGTACAGAATCAAGTGTCTTAGAATTGAACAGTGGAACTAATTACACAATAATTACAGAAAATGTAATTTAAGAAAATTGTTTTGAATTTAATTTGATATAATTGATTTTAAAATTATAAGTTTAAAACTATTTAATTAAAAAAAAAATTTTACTTAATAAGGTTACTAATTATTTTTATGGTAGTTATCAAGAAAATATTTCCACACCGCTTATTCAATAATGGACAACAATATGCGTTGAATAATAGAGTATATGTCTATTAATTGATATAATTTTTAAATATAACATTTCTGTTTATTTGATAATATATAATTGAATTTGTGACAATTGAAGACTTTTATTGCTACACAATAAATTTTCAATTGACAAAATTGGTCAAAAATCGCCAAACTTAAATAAAAAATATCAGAAAAATGGTTCATCGTATAATAAAAATTATAAGAATATTTTTTTTCCATAACATGAAACTAAAAATAGTTATACATTAAAATGTTTCATAGGAAGCACTGCCGTATACATGGGGGGGTTAGGGTCTCAACTCCCCTCCCCGAAATGTTGAAAGAATGTTTATTCATTATAATGTAACAAACAACAAGCTTTATATAAAATTGTACATCTACAGTTTGTATTACAAATTTTAAGAATTTGTACATTTCCTAATTCCCCATTAGTCTCACATTATTTTAAATTTTAGAAAATGACAGACATTATCTCATCCGAGTCCGATAATCGGAAGATGGTCTTTATCAGTTTATAATTACAATAATTCGCTGGTTTTACGCCCGTTTAGTCATATTTTCAGAAGTATTGTGTTAACATATATGATTAATAATTCATTCGATCTTATATTATTTTAACTGTGTATCTATTAACATCATAGGTATTTTGTATTAATATTTTATTCTATACATTTCTTAAAAAATGAAACGAAGTATGCCATCTCAGTCATCGATTTTTAATTTTTTTCATGAGAAAAACAATCAATTAAATTCAGATTTAGTTACTTCCATTATAAAACCACCAGAACTACCAGAAGAATTACTAGAACTTTGAGAAATTAGATGGAATGTAGATAATAGAATAACTGATGATAAATTTAAGTACGAATTTGGTTAACACGGTTTCATTGGTTAACTTATTCTCAGAAATTAGAAGGAACATTATGTAAAATATGAGTATTATTTTCTAATGAATGAATCAGAAACGGTTTCCAACAGGTTTAGATTTATTATCAGTCCTCCGAAATATTCCAATAAATATTGAAGAAATTATCAATACATTTTTCAAAATTCCACGCAAGGTTGACTTTGTTCTATGATTAAAAATTTTTTTTTTCATTGTAATAAAAGTTTTAATTATTACTATATTTAGTACTGTAATATATTTTCATTTTATAATTATGTAATTTTTTGTAATATGCATTAAAATTATTTATTATGTATTAATAATTTTAACTCCCCCCCCCTGAAATTGATTCTGAATACGTGCTTAATGGGAAGTATATTTAATTTCCTCCTGTGTTAAATAAGAACGCCAAGTAAATAATTTCCATAGAACACCAATGACGGTTAGCACAGCTATGTGTATCACATAATAGTTAAATTCAATAAAATAATAGATTTTAGAATGACAAAAATAATTAATATAAAGTTAGATTTTCGGTATTTTCTGGATGTAAATAATTTAAAAAACCACTTTTAATATTTAAAATATGTATTTTTGAGTATATATTTTGAAAACAAAATTTATATTTTATAAAATTGAGTTTTTTAAATATTTCTAAATAAGTCATTTTTACTATATGAAAATTATACATAGAGGAAATTTTAATAGGCTTGTCAATTTCTATAATTCATAAATAGGAAAATTTGTATGAATGTCAACAAGTGTTAAAATGATAATTACACACCTGTAGTTGTCTATTATAATAATAATTTTTATAATAGACATTTACAGCCTAACAATTATTGTTTGGAATGTTTGACTGACAACTCTTAAAATTTCTGATTCGGCTATCATTTCGATGTAATTTTTTTAATATAAATTTGCATTCTTTAATTTAATTGTATTCACACTTTAAACTGTTTTCATTAGTTTATATACTCATACCATCTGTAATGAACAATTAAAAATATATTATGCTCAAATAATAAAATATGGTTTGAAATTTTAACAGTAGTGAGTACCACGACTGTTGGAAACAACTCTCAAAAATTGTAATATATAACATGATACTTCAAATAGTTATTTTTCTAAACTTATTATTTGGTTTTAATAACAGTAAGTATAAGTTAAAATTCATTGTCAGGGTGATTCTAAATTCTATGAATGTCAGTTTATTAAATCATTTTAGGTTAACTCAATAATTTTAAACATTTATACTATTTCAACGCAGAAATTAAAATGTATTTATTATAAATTTATGATCAATCGAAGCTTCATTTTAACAAACTTCGTTATAAAAATGATTTTTATCTGATGCGAAAATAACAAGAGAATATTTATTAATTACAATAAATTTTACAGCGGTGAAGATCGTTAGTAAATTGGGAAATATAGCTATGGATAAAGTTAATAGTGCGAATGCAGCAATAAATGGCGTTCAAGATAGTCAAGTTGATATTTTATATTGGAATTCGTATGTAAATCTTTTTTAAAAATATATGAAATTTAGAAACTTTTGCATTTTATTCGTGATTTAAGACGTGATTTTCTATAAATGTTATTAATATTAATGAAGCTAGCGCGAAATAGTTTATTAGTTGAACTGTGAATTAGTTGAAATTTAAAATATCAATAACGTAACGCTAATATTAAGATATTAGATATTATTAAGAAATTTATTAAAAATATTGACTAAACATAAAGTTTACATTTTCTTATATTGAATTTAATCACATTTTTCGGACATTTTAGTTGATGAATGTGAGTGACTCCAAAATTATATTATTTCTCACATAATTCTTAGCAACGAAAAAAAAAGATAAAAGCACTGAATCTGCCAGTTTATAATTGTAATTAATAAATTTTTATAAATGTTTAATATGGTTTCCTAACTGATTTGCTATAAAGTTTTATTTTTTTATAAGCCTTATACTAGTCAAAACGTTAACTGCCTTTTACGACATACCCAAATACTCATTTATTTAAATAAAAACAATTAATTATACAAATTTAAATGAAATTCAAACATATTTTACCCAATTTAAAACTAAACCAGAACATGAAAAATAACTTACAAATCCAGGATAATATCAGAAGCTATAGTTAAAACTCTTATTCATTGATTGATTTTAGCTTCGATGCAAAGCTGAGAAGGGATTGATTTTACTATGTGTTTTTTGTTTTGTGTGTGTTTGTTACTATTTTTTCTCAGATCTCACCGAACTGATTTCTTTTAACAATCGGACAAAAGAACACAAATCGTATCTAGTCAAAGACATAAACCTCAAAAATTGAAAACATGTCGCTTGTTCCCCGTATTGGGAGAAATCTCCAAAAAAAAATACAAATTTAAAAAACATTATTTTAATTTTTTCAAATTTTTTACTTAAAACTGACAAATTTTTAAAAATAATCAAATCAATATAATTTTTTTTTAATGATACGTGAGATATTTACTTATCATTTTGTACATTTATTTTAGAAATCTAACCCTTTACCTGCCCGAAGGGGGGATTCAAAATTACCACTTTTTCACAAAAATTAACTTTTGAAAATGTTCCGGAAGATCTGACACTTTTATATATATCTTAAATTAAAGCTTATGTAATATACTGTAACATGAAAAAAAAAATTCAGACTTTATTTGTTTACATGGTGAAAATGACTACCGCATTCAAAAATATGCTATCTTGTGTTAAAATTTTGTATTTTATTTTAAAATACCTTGCAAAAGTTTTTGAGGTAGGAAAAAATTTTAAATCATTTGATTTTTATCTCATTTAAATTCAATAACTTTAATAAATATAAAATATACTGTAGTCCCCCCTCGTTTGAAGAAATTTCTTATTCATATTAAAGTTTTACTATGTGATTTTTTTTTATGGTTTTCATTTATTTTCTCAACTCTCGCTTGACCAACTTTTTTTAACGATACATCAAATGATCACAACTAATACACTCAATTGAGTAGATTTTTTTAACAACATTTCGAATGGTATTTTTAGTTAAAACAAATCATTAAAATTAATAATCTTCTGAATATTTCAATTGTAGAATAATTTTAATCACCAAAAATTACTTAGAAATGATTACTATGATTTCTATTTAAGTGATCTATTAAAATAAAAATGCAAAAAATTCAGCGCAATGGAGTGGCGGCACAGTGGGGATGTGCCATAGTTGGGTCAAGTATAATGATATCTGACAGTGATTAAAATCACTATAAAAAAAAAAAGTTCGATGCAAATCTGAAGATAGTGTTTAATTAAAAAGAATTGGTGAATTATTCCAAAAGCTACATGATCTCCTATTTCCTTATATATATCCTGAGTTTTATGATTTATAAGTGTAATATACAAAGAGAAGTGGTATTATTAAAAAAAAAGTATGTCGAATGAAAGAAGGATAGAAATATTTTTTCTCATAAAATAATTGTACTGATCTAATATTTTTCAAAAAGTATAATAAAGTTAAAAATGTAAAATATATAATCGAGAATTTTCATACAAAAATAGCATCCGGTAGCCATTTTCACCTTGAAGACAACATAAAGTCCGATATTTTTTTTCCATAATAAAGTATATTGTATTAGCTTTAATTAAAGATATATATAAGATGTCAGTATTTTCGGAACACTTTCAAAAGTTAAATTGAAAAAGTTGTCATTTTAAATCCTTCCTGTGGGCAAGTTAAGGGTTAGATTTATAAAAAAAAATTACCAAATTTTTGTTAAAGACATCATGCATCTATATAAAAAAATTATATTGATTTGGTCGTATTTGATAAAGTTATGGCAGTTTTAAGTAAAAAAAATTCGAAAATTTCCGATACTTAAATTTGTAATTTTTTTGGAGATTTCCCCCATTGACGGGAAACAAGGGAAATGTTTTCAACTTATGAGGGNGATTTCCCCCATTGACGGGAAACAAGGGAAATGTTTTCAACTTATGAGGGTAATGTCTTCAACTAGATACGATTTGTTATCTTTTGACGTATCATTTAAAGAAATCGGTTCTGTGAGATCTGAGAAAAAGTGGTAACAGTAAAAAAAAAACACATCATAGTAAAATCAATACCTTCTCAGCTTCGCATCAAAGCTAACAAAATATTGAGCTTTACTTATAAATTTACAGTAAATAGTAATTATACATATTTACAGACTTCATATTAATCTTAACAATACTATTTTTTATTTTCACTTAATTTTCTATTTAATAATGTAAATTTCAAACTTGAAGTTGAGCTTAAAGTTATGGTAACAAATTCAACTTTTTTAATTATAAACTTGCAATAAATCAGCTTTAAAATACCAAAAAATAGGCTAAAAATTATATTTTTACTGAGTATTTTTAAAATATTAAGAATCAAAATCTGTGATAATTTGAAAACAATATTTTGTATTTTTAATTATTTTTTTATCGTAATAAATCATTTCAAAAGAAATATTAATAATTTCTATGTAATTCTTAGTGTTTTAATAGATAATACAATTGAAATATTCAAAACTATTTTCGTTATAGTTATATCCTATAGTTTTTAACTAATTAAAAACAATATCAAAAATTATTGGTGATGGAAAACATATTGCTGATTTGTAATTAGCACGAAAAATTGAATAATAAAATAATATGTTTTACTCTGATGAAAATTTTTTGCTGACCATTTATTCATAATTAACAACAAATTGTTATCTAAAAAGTTCTGCGTCAAGCCCTTCAATTTTTATACACGTTTGCCATAAAAGTAATAACTACTTTATAATTTGTTATAAATTTTGTGAAAAAATTACAATACTAAATTATTAAATATCAATTTCATACTACGTTGAAATACTTTAATAGATATTTATTCACAGATTATACTTATAAATCAACTACTAATTAGGAATAATGATAGAAATAGGAGTTAAATTTGCTTTTAGAATAATCAACCAATTTCTTAAAATTAAAGACTATCTACAGATTTGCATTGAAGCGTATTTTATGATAGTACCACGTCCCCGCTATGCTGACGTTTTTATTGTAATAAAATAAAAATTTTTGATTTTAAAGTTAATTTATAATTAAATTTTTTCTAAATAATTGAACTTTGCACCAGGGTAGAGCAATACAAAAGTGATTTTTCTCTAGATATAAAGTCAATTTCAAAGCTGTGAAATTAACACATTAATATTTAATGCATAAATATTTTATATTTTTTTTTACAATTTTTTGTTCAATTAATTTAATTTCAGAATATGTGGAAACGATAATCCAATGAAAATTGAATTTGGAAATGAAACTGACATATTCAACTATTGGATTCCAGATTTACCTCTTAAAGTCATTGTACACGGATGGCTTGATTCTGGANATTCCAGATTTACCTCTTAAAGTCGTTGTACACGGATGGCTTGATTCTGGAACTGACGAAGATGGCGCTTCATATGTTAAGACTGGTATCAAATTTTATTAGTTTCAGGGTTCGAAATTATTACAAAAAAAAAGGGTTATTCTTTCCCGGTAAAAACCGAATTTTATTTAAATTAGTAACCGGTATCGGTATAAGGTTGCAGGTTTTATAAAAAGAGATTATCAATTACCTTTTTTAAAAAAAAATTTAAGAAAACAAGAAAATAAACGTTAATTGCTTAAAACTGGTTTGTGTTTTTTGGTTATTAATTAACCTGTAAAAATCAGCTTACAGTAAAATAAAATTTTGAAGAACTTATATATTCATTTACAAAAATATTTTTCAATTTTCATGCTATTCATAAGACAATTTTTTATCACCTCCCTTTCCAAGCATATCTTTAATTCATTAAATTATTTTCCTCATAAAGCTATGGCACAAAATATCTATTATTATATATATTATGTAATAATAATTACAGTGGAACAGTTTAGTTTAAAGCTTTTGCTTTAAGAAGGTATATATAAGAAAATCTTTCTTTATTATTAATGAAAAAAATATCGTATCTTCATAATGTAATGATTTTTGTACTGAGGAAATTTATCACTCTTGTAATAGTACTTTGATTTTACTTATTATCTTATGAATACTTAGTACTTAACTTAACCTTATTAAAATCAATTTATCATTTTTGTATTTAACCGATTAATTCGAAGAAATTACCGGTTTTTATTATAAAGCCGATTCTCTAATGTGTTGATTAATGGATACTGGTTAATAATTTAAAAATTATTCGTTTATGGGTAACAGATTACAGTTTTTTTTTCAAGACAAGAATTGGGTAACCACTTCTTCATTAAAAAAATATGGTTCTAATCAGTTCTGGAGAAAAATCAGTAACCGGTTTCAAGCCCTGATTAGTTGTATATTTAATAAATAATAAAGTTGAAATTTCTCGATCTTAAAAATTTATTCTCTATAATAACCAATCCCATTCTTTATTAGAATCTCATGATTCTATAAAATAAGTATAAAAAAATACGCCCTTATTTCGCAGCATATGTTGACGTCGGAGGTTTTAACGTTATTACAGTGGACTGGGGAAGATTAGCATCAACTATAACATATCCGTTAACGGCATCTTTTTCAAAAGATGTGGGTGCTATCATTGCTAGAATGTTAGAAAAATTAGTAAGTTTTGAAATTATTAATGTTGACAATATACACTTAATTGGCCACAGTCTAGGAGCACATATTGCTGGAGCTTGTGGTTCTAGTTTTAAATTTGGAAAAATTGGTAGAATTACAGGTACGTCTCAATCTCCATATAATATCAGTATATATAGAGTGTTCAGTAACTAAGTAAACGGATTTCTATTGTTTTTGTTGTTTTTAACAATTGCCTTGTTTCCTTACCATCTGAACACTCTGTACAATCTATGATAATATACAACGAATATTAATTCAGGTCTCGATCCGGCTGGTCCAGGATTTGAATATCTACAAATTGATGTTCCACATCTTAATTATAATGATGCATTATTTGTAGACGTGATTCATACAGCTGCAGGTGTGATCGGTTATTCTAAATCAATAGGCCACGTTGACTTTTATCCAAACGGTGGAAAATCACCTCAGCCCGGATGTAATCAAGGCAGACGTCCAACAAATAAACTTAGTGCTAGTAATACAATATTTATTAAATAATATTTGTTAAAAGTATTATATTATTTTAATGGTTATCTAATAAAAATTTATTTCATTAGTTAACTAAGTTGCATTACAATTTTTATTTCCAGTACATTGTAGTCATTCAAGGGCATATTTACTTTACGCAGATACTGTATACAATAGAAAATCAATAGTTGGTATACAATGCAACTCCTGGGAAAATTTTCAAAATGGAGCTTGCAATTCTGGACAGATGTCATACATGGGTCACGATACTACACCAAAGTTAGAACTTATTACTAACACCCATTGAACTGGAATTTACTCCGTGCAATGGTATACACCAGTGACGGTGACGTTCTCAGGGTTTTATAATGACAATGAATGAATGTTTTTTAAAGACTTATGGCCAAATTTTAACGTATTGTAAAAATAAAAAATGATAATTTTTCAAACATTTTAACAAGGGTATTCACTTTCTCCCATGTGAGAACGTTTCTAATTATTAACAAAAAATATTTTTTACTTCATATTTTTATATTATTTTATTATATTAAACTATGTAATTATAAACATTTTTATTTATATATTTTTTAGTGTCAGAGGAGATTTTTACTTAATTACCAATGATTCTTCCCCATATGCATACAATGAGTTTAGAAATGTAGAGTCACAGACAAATGAATTATAAAACCATGAAGACTATTGTAATAAATTTGAATGAATCTAAAAAATTGAAAAACTTGAATACTGTATTCTATAATAATTACAGAACAAAGTTTTATAAATTATTTATAGAACAATTAATGTTTATTTTTTTTATTAATTAATAAACTGTAAATTAATGAAAATTATTACAAAATTAATTATGGTTTTACTGCGATTATCTACAATATATCTAAATATACTTATACACTTTCATTGTAATTTTAATCAGTTCTACTATTCTATGCAGACAGTGATGTATCCAAAATTTCGCAATTGAGGAACAAATATAAAAACAAAATCAGTGTACGTTTTTAGGTGATTTTTATCTTAAGTAGTGGTTTAGTGTTGCTAATAGGGAAAGGTAAGCCAATTTTTCTGTCTTATGAATAAACTGCTGTCTGTAAATATCTAAATACGTTTAGCATTATACCAAAAGTTTATAAGGACTATAGTTAAAATGATCTATTGTTTCATTTTTTTAGTGTAGTAGAATGTGTATTTAAAGGTATTTTTTTCATTTCCCTAATAGTAAAATTGGTTATATATAGTTTGAACTAACATTGTTTGTTAATTAACTTAATAGAATAACAAATCAATAAAAATAAAATAAAATAAAACTTGTAATTTTTTGTAATAAAACTATCTCTTGTTAGTTTTTTTGTAAATTTTCTTAGCATATTTTACAAAATTTTGGGTTGTTTTCGATGCATGACTGCGGATCTTTTTGGACCACGGTCGGAAACCAGAATTTTGAATGTTTGGAACCTTAGAGTCATCATCATTCTCCATGTTTTCAACTTTAATGGTCATCTCTTCAGTGTCAGTTTGATTTTCTATTGAAATTTTGTTAGTGTCTGTAATAAGCTCCCATGATGTTGAACTGTTTGGTCCGAAGAAATACTTGTTGTCTTGACTGCTAGAATTATCCTGTGGTAAATTAGCCATACGAAATTATTTGTAGAAAAAATTATTTAATTTAATCTATTTATGATTATGACGCGAATATTATATTAAAAACAAAATACAGCTAATTAGCAACTAAAATATGTTTATTGCTGTTAATATGCTTTAAAAACTTTATTTATTGGTTGTTAATAGTTTTGGCCAACAATTTGAAAACGCATTAGAAAATTATCATTTTGAGATTATTTATCAAAATTTATTACTTTATTCGCCTATAATTTATAAATAATTTAAAGTTTTTTCATATCGTTCGAGTACATTTAATAATTTTATAAAAAACACATAAGTTAAAAAAAAATTATTTAAGCAAAAGTGACTTTTGCTTAATTTAAAGACAAATTTTGGTATTCCATAGATGATAAATAGTATCAAGAAATATTTTAGCTTCTAAATTAGCAATAAGCCAAAAATGTTTGTAATAGTGTCTGAGGCTTGGAAATACAGGCATTTATAATTTATTTCATACTCAATACTGTTTATGTAATTTTTTAAATTTTTAAAGTATAATTTTTATTAAAGCTTTATGAAAATTAATTTGTGAAGATCAATCAAATTAAAAAAAAAAAAATATATTAAAAACAACATTCAGAAATAAAAAAATATATATATATTTAATTCAAAATTATATTTTTTACATCATTAACAATATAATTTACTATACAAAAATTAAACATTTTTTAAGAAATGATAAAAAAAAAATTTAAGCTAACAATATCATTTATAAAAACATATGCATAAATACAAATGCTGGTAACAATTAAGCAAATAAATTTAGCTGAAAACATAATTTTCAAGTTATGTTCCTAAATAAGATTGGTGATAATAACTATTTTCTAGGAACTTAATAATGAGATGGTGTTAACAATATATAGTGTTCAACGCATCTAATTTTAACCATCTACATATTATCACAGTCATACCATTAAACTTGCGTATCACAAAAAAAAAATTTATTTAAGGATATATTCCAGTCCTTTGATAGATACGCAATTCATAAAAAATGAATATATTAAGGATTTTACATTTACTTAATATTATCATATAAAATTTATATTCATTAAATTTAAGTTTTTTTTTAAAACCTAATCAACTTTTTACCAAAATTGTTACTTAAAATATAAAAAAAATTAAACTATATTGATATTATCGTTTGTTTAACCTATACCATACACAAGTAGAAGTAAGAATTGTTGTACAAAATAGTATAAAACATAGATAATAAAATTCAGGATAAATATCTGGAAGCATTATGCCCATCTCTTTGAGAAACTTGTCAGGGTACTTAAAATGACAATATATTTCATCAGAACAAGGCATTATTTCTCTAGAAAATCCATAGAGTGTATTCATAAGGCTTGTAAATGATGCCCTCATAAAACTGAAATGATACACCCAAATATATTGTAGTGGTACGTCTTTCAATTGAATAGCAAATCCGAAAACAGACAAGGTCACAATAGAAACTGGACCAACAAATACTGCCATCTAAAATACAATTGTATTTATTATTTTTATAATTTAACTAGCTTTGTTTATAGTATTAGCAATAGGCTTTATATTTATGTTCAACATTTGAACTTTTAATTCTTGTAATAATTATAGAAAATTAGCTTTTTAACATTTTAAATTAACAAATTTAATTTAAAAAATATTTACAAATAAAATATAATGCAAATTTTTATCTGACCTTACTGGTCAGATTACCATACCTTTACTGGTAATGTAGCACCACATAAAAATCCTGTACTTTGAGCTGTAATTGATGTAACCACTGCAATTATAGTAAAGTAACTGAATCTCATAAATTCTAATGGCTGACCAGTCAAGACATATGAAGGCAAAATATATGTAAGACAGCACAATATCTAAAATATAATTTAATTACAACTAAATAACTTTATATAGTTAAAAAATTATTTAAGAAGAAATATCTTACCTGGAATGGTATTTCAACCATTAATGTTGATACTAGATAAGGAAATAATGAATACCACCTATTAAAATGTTCTCGCTTTAAAATTTTATACTCCAGTGGAACTATAAACGNTATTTAATCTATTTGTGATTATGACGCGAATATTATATTAAAAACAAAATACAGCTAATTAGCAACTAAAATATGTTTATTGCTGTTAATATGCTTTAAAAACTNCGTTTAATAAAAGTTATAGTAAAGTTTAATAAAAAAAAATTTAGAATTGAACTCCTTAATAAAATAAAAAATCTTAAATTTTACATACAAGATACTACAACAGCCATTTGTCCAGTGTAAACTAAGAATAAATTAGTTCCATAAACAAAAACCATGTTACCAAGCACTTGCGAGCCATCATTGCCAACATTTCGATACAAGTACCCAAAAATAAGAGCTATTACTAAATGAGCTGAGAGTCTTAATGCAAGTTGATTCTAAAATATTGAGTAGAAATTAAATTTCATTTAAAAATCAAAATAATTAAATGGACAATAAGTTTGATGAAGAGTAATTTTGAAATAAAAATTTTAATGTGAAAAACAGAAAAAATTAATTTTTTATTACAATAATAATAAAAAACAAGCACAGGGGTGTCGCGGCACAGTGGTGACGTGGTATAGATGGATCAAGTATAATGATATCTGACAGTGATTAAAATCACTATCAAAAAAAAAACGCTTCGATGCAAATCTTTAGATAGTGTTTAATTTTAAAAAATTGGTGGATTANGTATAAATGATAAGCTTGTAGATACAACGGCGGAGGAGTTGACGATTTACTTAGTGTGAATGGGGCTTGATTTTTACCATTGGCGGAATCAAGTTTCTTTAAGCACATTCCTGTAAATCATAGTTAAAACATATTGTTAATAAACACGAATGAAGAGCATACTAGAAAGTTCTGTTTAATAGTTACTCACCATTTTCTCGTATCGTTTCTTGTTCACCAGAAATACAAATNATTATATTGATCAATACAATTTTCAATAAGTTATAGCATTTAAAGTTAAAAATGTAAAAAATAAAATTGAGAATTTTCACACAATAATACCATTTGGTAGCCATTTTCATCGTGAAGACAAAATAAAGTCCGAAATTTTTTTTTTACATAATAAAGTAGATTATATTAGCTTTAATTTAATATATATAAAAAAGTGTCAGACTTTCCGGAACACTTTCAAAATTTAAGTTGAAAAAGTAAATTTTTTGTGAAAAAGTTGTCATTTTGAATCCCCCCCTGTAGGCAGGTAAAAAGTCAGATTTATAAAAAAAATATACCAAATGATAGGTAAAAACATCATGCATCTACAAAAAAAAGAATTATATTGATCCATACATCTTTCGAAAAGTTATAGCATTATAAAGTTAAAAATATAAAAAAGAATTAATTACAAAAATTGTATTTTTTTTTATTAAGTTTAATGTCTGTTTTCACCATGAAGATAAAATAAAGTCCGAAATTTTTTTTTACCATTATAAAGTATATTACATTAGCTTTAATTTAAGATATATATAAAAGTGTCAGACTTTCCGGAACACTTTCAAAATTTAAGTTGAAAAAGTCAATTTTTTGTGAAAAAGTTGTCATTTTGAATCCCCCCCTGTAGGCAGGTAAAAAGTCAGATTTATAAAAAAAATATACCAAATGATAGGTAAAGACATCATGCATCTACAAAAAAAAGAATTATATTGATCCATACATCTTTCGAGAAGTTATAGCATTATAAAGTTAAAAATATAAAAAAGAATTTTTTTACAAAAATCGTATTTTTTTTATTAAGTTTAATGTCTGTTTTCACCATGAAGATAAAATAAAGTCCGAAATTTTTTTTTACCATAATAAAGTATATTACATTAGCTTTAATTTAAGCTATATATAAAAGTGTTAGACCTTCCGGAACACTTCCAAAAGTTAAGTTGAAAAAGTTCTATTTTCTATATGCATTTTTATGTTTTGAATCCCCCTTATATTAAGGGAAATGGTCCGATTTAAAAAAATAGTATGTTGAATGAAAGATCTATATAAATACTACTTCTCATAAAAAAATTGTAATGATTCATTCATTTTTCAAAAAGTTATAGCATAATAAAGTTAAAAATGGAAAATACAAAATCGAAAATTTTCACACAAAAATAGCATTCGGTAGCCATTTTCACCATGAAGATAAGATAAAGTCCGAAATTTTTTTTTTTCATAATAAAGTATATTACATTAGCTTTAATTTAAGATATATATAAAAGTGTCAGACCTTCCGGAACATTTTCAAAATTTAAGTTAAAAAAATTAATTCTTTGTGAAAAAGTTGTCATTTTAAATCCCCTCTTGTGAGCAGGTTAAGGGTTAAATTTATGAAAAAAATATACCAAATGAAAGGTAAAGATATTATGCATCTATATAAAAAAGAATTATATTGATATGTTCATTTTTGAAAAAGTTTTGGCACTTTTAAGTAAAAAAAATTGAAAAATTTTTGAAAATTAGCGATTTTTAAATTTGTAATTTTTTTGGAGGTTTCCCCC